CTGGGGTTCAATTCCAGACCTGGAGCGCTGTGGGGAGTTTGCGTGTTGCGTGTGGGTTTCCTCCACCATCCCAAAGACATACTGGTAGGTTAATTGGCTTCTGGGAAAAAGCTTTACTTTTTGATAAAGATCTCAAGGCATTCTAGAAGAATGTGAAGGTAAATGTCAAAAGTGGATTCTGTCCTCCTCTGGCCACACAAACAGAACATCATCCGTGACTCCTGAACACTTCCAGCTTACAAATGAAGGATTTTGGTGCCAAATATTCTTAAGGACAGGAGTGTCAGACCTGAACCTGAGGCGGATGCATCTTAAACACTCACCACAAAGATAAGGAAGAAAGGACAGTGAAGCAGTTCAGGGGGCAGGACATCTTAATCTCCCAAACTGCTAAGATCCACATGCAGAGAGTGGACGTTTGTAAGATGTTTCTTAGAATTTTGCGACCTTGCCTTTTTTTCCCCAAAAAGATAACAAGAAGCACGTAGTGTAATAGAAGTGTTAGTTAAATCTCACCCTGAATGGTCCGAATTCAGCAGTTCGTATATGTATGGTCCATGAACCATTAGCTTCTAAACACTTCCTTTTGCCTTTTCAAGCATGGGATTTGCACTACTGCGTAGTTTACAGATCATCCATCCATTTTCTAAGCATTTTATCCAATTCAGGTTGCAGGGGAGCCAGCAAGGAGAGGCAACAATTAAGCTTCCAGACTGATGAAAACACACAGACCCCAGCTCTTGCCAAGCCGATGATGTAAGTGTGGCCTAGAGGACCTGCTGGCTGGTGACTCTGCAGGATCGGCCACCACGTGACAAATCTACACAAGCAGGTCTGCGGTCCCCACGCTTCCCCGAAACTTTCTCAGCCGAGGGCACTGCTTTCTTAACCCGACGTGTTCAGCCATCTTTCTGCTCCTGATCGGTTACAGAGGGGCAGGGCGGCAGCGGAGTCTTTTCAGCTGCCTCGGTTTCATCTGCCAGGAACAAACTGAGACTGCCGGCCTGCCAGCTATCTCTCTTTCTCGGTTCGCCACAAATCTCCCCACTGCCCCCAGACAGAGCCCGAAATAGAACAAGCAGAGACCCGTACGCTGGAGATCAGATTTCCCAGTCTGTGTTACCGGGTGGACAGCGCGTCCCGAGTTCAGAACTGTCTTCACTGGAACAGGCCTCTCCTCACTATATCATGTGAGCATCACTTAGCTGGATTTTGACAGCAGTATTGGATAGCAAAGCCCAACGCTAAGGTTTTGCGATTATGCTTTGGGAATCAATAGATCCAGTTACGATAGGCACCCAGATCATTTCAGGCTGAAACACAGTCACCTGCATTGAATGCATTATCATCTCATGACTGTGCAATTTACAGAATTTCATCCGCAAGCTGATTTAAACCTGTACATACTGTAGCTGACAAAGCCTGCGTCATGTTCAGGACTCACGCAGGTACTGTATAACAGCTAAAGTTAGAAAATCTGTTGTTAAATTCTGCCACTTGGATTCTAAAGACAACACGTGTTCCTCTATCAAGCAAAAGAGCATGGCAAGGAAGACAGCAGCAGCCAAGCAGACCAGGAGAAGGATCAGTACTGTCATGGATTTGCAACATGGAGCAACATGGTGAACTGGCATTGGTTTGACTTTATAAAACCTCACAATCTGGAACTGAAAAGCCAGTTGAATGTTAACTTCTGGCTCACAGGTACGACCCTCTCAGCTGCCCATGATGAGACTGAGGAAGTGCCGGCAGGTCCCACTGTGAGGAAACACAGGTACTTGAGGCTACTGGTGTAACAGTGACTAACTGGTACGATGACCCATAGTACATGGCCCCAAGAAAGACATAGAAGTGCATTTAAAACAGATCGGGGGGCACTTCTTTACCCAAAGGGATGTGGGAGTGTGGAACAAGTTATGCAGCCATAATGCTGGAGATGATATCCTGGCTTGTTTCAAGACACAGCTGGATGAGGTCCTCAGAAAAATCAATAACCTAAACGGCCTCATCTTGTTCATGGCCATTCTGAAGCTCTTATGTTCTTGATGGTCCCATCCTAAACAGATGCTGTGCACCATCGCTAGGTCAGAAAGATGGATGTGGTGTCAGAGCAACAACAATCACAGGCCCCAAATTAAATCACTTCATGTCCAAGACCTCTGGCTCCTGGACAGGAGGTCCTGCGTTCGAATCCCAAGTGGGGTGGCTCTGTTGTGTCCTCAAGTGGGGTACATCACTTGGATAGCACTGATTAACGCCCTGCTGTGTAAGTGGCTAGCTCTCTGGGCTGCCATTGAAAGCTACAGTTTGTTCTCAGTTGATCTATCTAGTTGAAGAGCGTCAAATAATGATAAACCTTAACTACAGCCCTCCTTCTAGTCCCGCTGTCCCACTGCCCCTGCGACAGCTGGAGACAGGGCACATGCTGAGCCTTATCTGGTCTCTCTCATCATTTGAAGAACGGTAACCAGGGGCACAGTACTGCTGGGCCGTTTCTACCGCGGTCCCAACGGCTCGGGGCTTATGCGTGCTCCCTCTAGCGTGAAAACGGCTTCTTTTCATTTCCCATTTCGACCGACGGACAGGTGCGATTCGTATTGGACAAACGGGACAATGCTGCCATCTGCTGGAGAGCGCTAACGATGCAGCCCCGTACGCGTGCAGAGAGCAGTGATCCGGGTTCTTGATTATCGCACGGAAACCCAGATTTAGACAATTCACTTACCGCATAAACTGTGTGCCAGAATGGTCAGAGTTCTAGACTTGAAATTTAAAGATTGTGGGTTACAATCCCAGGTGAGACAGTGTGCTGTGGTTGTACCCTTTAGCAAGGAACGTCACCTGAACTACTCCAGTAAGACACACAGCTGGACAGACGGGCAAAAATGTAAGGATCTTTTTCATCATCATCAAAATAAAGTAGCAATTAGACTTTTCAATTGTTTTCAGTTCTGGAACTAAGAAATTGAGTTATCTGTGAACATTCAACTGCTGAATGCCCTTAGTGTAGCGTGCGACGACCCACCACAATTACAACAGGCCCTTTCTCTGTTTTGTGCTGGATTTTATAGTGTGAAAGGAACGACTCAAGGGCAGCTGTTACTGTGCCGCTGTTTAGTGCGGGAGCATTCAGGAGCGCGCTATAAAAACGTAAAACACAAATGGCCTCGCACAGATCGATCTAAAAAACCCACGCAATGAGCTTTAGTGACACAGCCGAGCAGTGGGTATTGAGCATAGGGTTATGCTCAATGTTACAGACATGTAACAATGCTCAAGATATCACTCGCTTCTCGTGTATTCAAGTTTCATTTTACCCAATAATACCTAAATATAACTGATAGGCAACAAAACCGCGCACACAACAGACCGATCTCTTACCAGGAGATCGCTCCAGCAGAAAGAAGAGCCAACAGCGGCAAACAAGCTAATTTCACTGTCTCCTCGCACGTACCACTAATTTGGTTACTTGTCAAATTAGTACCATGTGCCGCATTTACAAAATCACCTCTAGCCTGCTCTACGGGGACACAAACTTAATGTATTAAAATAACACCCCATCCCCAAAGTAAATTGACTCTCACTCATTAATGGGGTAATTAAGATCTCGTCGCCGTATCTCGCCAGCAGCGATATCACCCGGCAACTCACAACTCACAACTGTCAGTCTCAGCAGGTGTGAGCCTGGTCAGTACCCGGATGGGAGACCTCCTGAGAAAAACTAAGGGTGCTGCTGGAACAGGTGTTAGTGGGGCCAGCATGAAGCGCTCACCCTGTGGTCTGTGTGGGTCCTAATGCCCCAGTATAGTGACGGGGACACTATACTCTAAAAAAAGGCGCCGTCCTTCCGATGAGACGTAAAAATGAGGTCCTGGCTCTCTGTGGTCATTAAGATTCCCGGGGTGTCTCTCGAAAAGAGTAGGGGTGTAACCCCAGTGTCCTGGCCAAATTTCACCCTGACCTTCACCAGTCACGGCCTCCTAATAATCCCCATCTATGAACTGGCTTCTCCTCCCCACTGAGAGCTGGTGTGTGGTGAGTGTACTGGAGCACTATGACTGCTGTCGCATCATCCAGGCTATACACCGGTGGTGGAGGAGATCCCCAGTACCTGTAATTAAGCGTCAAGTTTCAGTCTGAGTGGAGTGTCCAGAAAAGCGCTACATAAGTATGATCTCCCCCCCACTGGAAAACCTATAGTCAAGCAAGAGACTCACACTTCTACAATGAACTCCTTCCAAGACCAGCGTAGTTCGTGGAAGAACAGATTCTACATTAGGAGCGGAAATGTCACAACGAAGTCACATAATTGATTCAACTAACAAAAGCCAGGAGATCCGGAGCTCAAGCCACAGCCTACCCGTAGTGCGTTTCGGATCAAGACCCACACACCGTACAGTAGAGGATGGCGTCATCTACCAGAGCGGACCCTGATAAAAAGCGATTGCACTCGGATTTCTGGTATTCCGTACCATATCGTTTTACTCTGTTTATTTAGGGTGGTCTTCTGTTAAGAAAAGTCAAATGAAACTTTAAGGGAAATCGCGGCTGCCCTGCGCCTACATCTCGTCCCGGTTGGAGCAGGACTGCCCCAGCCGTGCTCCAGTTCCACAACGCCCAGACCTCAGATCCAGGAACCCAGCGTCCCGGTGTGAGAGTCTGAGGCGGGTCACAAATACCGGAGCGATCAGCGCTAAAGAAACGCGCGTCCCGGTTCACTGCCCTCGCCTCCGAGCCCCCACAGCTCTGCCACGGCCCCTCTGGGCCACTTAAAACATTCACGCTCCACCTGACACACCTGTCCTTACACGCGGCTTTAACGAGGCCACCGGCGTCCTTTTGTTGAAGAACAACTCGACTACCACGTTAATTAAGGGCCCGGGAAGGTTAGCTTCTGGCATTATTAATGCGCCTCCTTCTCCAGGTCATTTCAGACATTTTTGTTTTTCTGTATATTTCAAACGTTTTTGGAATGAAAGTGGAACCATTTCTAAAACCTCTCGCACTCCAGGCGGATGTTTCCAACATGATGCTCCAGCGATAAGAAAAAAACACAATATATAACTGAGCCTTCAAATTCATGTTGGTGCTTTTTTACCACATAACTTAAGCGTGCAAACGAGCGGAGGCCGTTCGACTCAAATGCCTTTCTCGGTCTCGTCCAACCGTTTCTAAAAAGGCAGCAGTCAACAACGGCTGTGTAACTTGCTGCAGGCCCACACAACTCTTTGTGTAAAGACCCTAAAGCTCACAGATGAAAATGGGCTTCCCTGTAGTTCTCACTTGCCTGAGTCCTTTACCTTATTTGCAACTCAGTGAGGTGCGGGGGTCACAGTCAATTTAAACAACACACAAACGTTTTTCTGTCGGGAACAAAAATGAGAGGGTCTTTAATCCTTGGCCATTAGGTCACGTGTATGTCACAAACCGCGGGCAGTAAGCACCCCTCGTCTCTCTCAGCCGCGCCCCTCACTTAAATCTCGATTACTGCGTCACTCTTAAATATGCTGCCCACCAAGAAAAAAAAAACATCGTGTGCAACGTAAAAAAGCTGTCTTTTTTAAGTTTCTCCCTCACGTGAGCGAGACAAATCGAAGACCAAACGTCCGGACACGCGTGGGAACCCAAAGCAGAGAGCGTAGACCTCCCAGACACTCCAGTAAATACCCCCCGAGAGCCCATCACGAAGCTTGGGCCGACCGAGCGAAACTCCCAAAACGTTAAAGGCAGTTCGACGTCATCCTTCCCCCGTCTCACCGAGTCTGTAGTCGTGTCCGCAACTAACGCCACAGCGCGGAGCGCAGGCAGGCAGAGACGACCCCGGGCTGGACCCCGCCGCACTGACCGTGTCCGAGATACCCGGGACTTCAGCAACAGAAGAAACTGGAGATGGTATCTCTCCGCTTACACGGGGAAGGAGGACGGTACACGCGTGATCGCGTAGGCAAGAGGAGCTGTGAAACATCCGTCTAATAATTAATCACATTCCCTCAAATCAAAGGTTGGGAGGTCGCGTCTCACCGAAGTCCCCCGGGCGTCAAAGACAGGACAAAACGAAATGAACGGGCGTCTCGTTTATGCGACACCGATTCAGGAGGAGGAAAATGCCTAAATTGTTTGGATTCAAGAATTAACACGTGGACGATGAGTACAGATGAGTTCAGCTGAGTACAGTTCAGTCTTTCTGTCTGCCAGCGCTGCCCCTGCAGTCGGAGCCGCACCGAGGGCTGCGGGTCGCCTCGACGACTCCCCTCGGGAAGAGACAACGTGACGTCTGCGCGAACGCGTTCAGTCCCTGTCACTCCCCTAGAAACGCCGGCTGTCTTTTAAAAGCGACCGAAGGCTACAGGTTTCGCAGGACCCTGCGAGTCTTGGAAGTTTTCTGCACCGAGACTGACCTCGCAGCCGCAGCCGGTTATAGTGTGGGGCCGAGGACGGGGTCGTTCCGGGGAAAATGAATGCAACGGAGATACTGAACCGGACGCTTGCGGGTACACAACCCCCCGGGCCGGTAGGCATAGAGGCGCTCCTGCGGTGCTGCAATTTCTCCAACTCGGCCAGCACCAACGACGGCTTCGGCGTGTCCCTGCCGGACGAGCGGAACCTGTACGTCATGCAGGTGGTCCAGATCGCGGTGCTGTGCGTGCTGTCGCTCACGGTGGCGTTCGGGATATTTTTTCTAGGCTGCAACCTGCTCATCAAGTCGGAGAGTATGATCAACCTCCTCGCGGAAGACCGGAGACCCTCCAAAGAGGCAGAAGCTATAATGATCGGGTCCTAAAGTACGCCGAGGGATCCGGGTCCGCTCGGTACCCCGGTGCCAGCAATTGTTCCGATTCTTAAAAGTCAAGCGGGTGGACTCGCTTTAAACTCGGTTTAAAAGGACGTTCAGCTCCCCGGAGTTTGCCGGGGAAATGGCTCCTTATCTACTGAGAAGCCAGTTCTTGCTCAGACGGCGATCTGTCACGGTCCCTTGAATTAATTTCGTCCAGGATGGTACCAAGAGACCTCCTCTCCGGGAAGACTGGCCGCAGAGGTAACAGCGGGAAACTGCGAAGACGTTCCTGAGTGACACTGAAGGATTTTACCTTTAAATCCGGTACTTTGTATTTTAAAAATTTAAACGAATAACCCTTTTTGTCACGGATTACAGTTTTTCATCAATGTTAATATGTTGATGGACGACTGTATAACCTACACAGTAAACAATACTGCAGGCTGTAATTTACCAACTGGATAGGTTTATTAACTAAACCTAATTGTAATTGTATTGGAAAAAAAACCCTGTTTTTAGACTTGTCTTTCTTGCTTGTTTTGCAATAGAATTTGCACCTGCATATTGATTAACCTGCACGGTGTATTATTTTTTGCTTTAAACTCGTGACCTGTAGAGGTTACGTTCGAATGACGGCTTGATTTCCAAGTATGAATGAAACTCGCTCATCCGACTACAGTCTTAGAAACACAGAGCACGTGTGCGTGCGTCAACGATTTAAAATAATTCAAAGGACGAATATTATAATTATTATGAATTATATGTCTAACACTGAATAAAGTTAGCAGGGGTGTCTGCTATAGAGTTATCTTTAACGCAAGGGGTTAAAATCCGTTCACTAGTCAGCAGTGTAATTTATTCACGGAGTGATGGTAGAGTTTGTATTGTAACGCTTACGGCCGACAGGCACTGTGTAAGAGCCGGCGTACCAGAGCGGTGACGTCACCGCCCTTCCCTGTGATAGCACGACTACAGCTACTGGATGCAGAGAGATCTGTCTTTGGCTCACCGGGCTGGGTCCCTGCTGAGTGACGCGGGAGTCCCGGGTTCGAGCCCCCGACGGTGGGGGGCCGACCTAATGCGGCAAGGGTGCCCGCCTGAGCCCCCATTGCGTTACAGTATTATGAATCTTTTACACTTCAACAGAGCAATAACAGAACAAAAGAGTCTTCAGTTGCTGAAATACTGTGATATAAAAGTATCAGGTGGTAGAGTGGCACAGTGGTGAGCAGTGCTCCCTCACAGCGCTGGGACCCCGGGTTCAGTTCCTGGGGCGTTGTCTGTGTGGAGTTTGTATGTTCTCCCCCTGTTCGTGTGGGTTTCCTCTAGGAGCTCTGGTTTCCTCCCGCAGTCCAGAGACATACTGGTGGATTCATGGGCTTTTGGGAAAATTAGCCCCCGGTGCGAGTGTGTGTCTGCCTGCGATGGACTGGCGTCCCATCCAGAGCGTGTCCTGCCTTGTGCTTGTTGATTGGTCAGATAGGCTCCAGCTCCCCCACGACCCCGGATTGGATAAAGTGGTTCGAAAACAGATGGGCAGGTGGAGCTCTCGCCTTCTAGGACCAGGGTAGTTTTAATAAGAGGTCAGGGGGTCTGGTCTTTCTGGGTCCACCCAGCGCTGGCTGTGCATGAGGCGTGGCGTTTCCCAGCATGCCTTATCCCCCCCCCATTAGCGAGTGGCTTCAATCCAATCCAATACGGGATCTGGGGGGGTAGCCGGAGCTGCAACTCTTCCGCTGCACTGCGATGGGAGCGCTGAGCTCCGAGGCGTCTCTGAAGACGAAGGGCATCGCGGCCTTCCCCTTCCAGCAGCGCGAGCCTCCGAGACAGCTCATCATGCAGCAGCTCAGAAATAATTCAGTGCGTCCGCCAGCTGTAGTGAATACATCAGCTACACAATCATACTTGCAATCAGGGATCACAGCAGGGGAAGGATCCTATTAGCGGGAGCAATGCTGAATTTATTCCAGCTCGAAGGGGGGTGAACAGGGCAAATCCTGTCTGGGCACGCGCCATGAGTTTCAGAACAGCATGACGCCCCGTTTCAACCAACAAGCAGCCTCTGAGAGCAGGAATCCAGCCGTTTACCCCAACACCAGTTTCTATAGACGCAGAGCACTTTCTTTTCAACTGCGTAAGTTGCTGCAAAAATCAAGATCATTGTGTGAGAAAGTCTGGACACTCTGCCTGCAGTCTCCCAGGAGCACAAGTTCCACTCCTGACAGATTTGAAGAGTGCTCCCCGGCCTTCATGTTTGAAGGTTTGAAATATAGACAACGTGCAGGTGGCCTGTTTTATTATAGACAGGTCCTGGGCTGGCCAACAGCAGTGTTGTCCAATTTCAAAATCGGCAAGGTCAATGTAACCACAATCAACACTTTCCCGTTTTATGGTGTGACAGCTTAATTGGATAATGGCATTGATCACAAGAACATAAGTTGTATCGGCGCATAACCCCCTTAAGAATGTGTTTATCTTCACAACCTATAGGGTTTTAGCAGCTTGCTGGTCTCGGTCTTCACAGACACGCAGTGCCCTGTCAGCGTGTGTATTTACAAATGTGCGGAAGAAGAAAAAAGGATTAAATAAGCATATGTCTATCTAGCACAATACCAAGCACAAAACAGAGTGCACATAACCACAGTAATATTACAGTACATCACTGCTAGTGGCAGCATTCACACTGACAACGCAAGGCCAGCCTGCAGAAGGCATGTCTCCCAGACTAGCACTGTGGCAACACGAATGACTACAGCCCTCCAGATACTCATTAGCATAGCTCTAAATCCCTTGAAAACTGCAAGACAGAACTCTGCAGCTTGGAAACATGACAGGGAGTGCAGTAAAACACATTGCCAGCTGCTAAGACAGCATTCAGCATCTCCATTTTTTTTTTACCCACAAGGTCACCTCTAAACTCATCCTAAAGTCTGGGGCCACAAGCAGTAGGCAGCCGCACTCAGTGTTCAGACGGGCTGGACCTCTTGTCCAAGGCTTAGCTAAAAAGTCACTGCACTGACCCATATAGTAGCCCACCTGTAGCGCGGAGAAACCCATCTGCCAGGCTGTCAGGGCTATTAATTTCCCAGCTGTTCCATTTGTCACCCGACACGATCACACAAACGCCTCTCTTTCCCCACTGCTGCGTGTCTCTGTTTTCTTCTTGAGATCGACATCTCAAGGCAGCCCACGTTAACAGTGCCATCGCACTTCCATCTCGAACCCGTGCGAGCGAAGGGATCTCAAATGGTGCCTGGCGCACGTAAAGGAAACTGCCCGGCAGGCTGAAGCTGTGACTGAATCCCGGATCTGCTCCGAGAGACTGATCATCTTTCAAATGTCTGAATCTATTCCGCGTCAAAAGTGACAGAGGGTCTGATGCATGATCGCTCTCCGGCCACGTACAGCTTATTTGAAGGGCAAGGCTGTCAAACAATTAAGGGATGGCTGACGGGACAGGCTTTGCTACTAGCAGTTACTAGTACGGTTTTTTAAACTGGAAATATCATGCATGGCTCTCCTGGGCCACTGACTGCTCCACAGGCAGCTGCTCTTTGGAACTGTGTAAACCATCCATGCCATCGGTTACACAAGACCTTGAAAACGCGCCCAATCGAGGGAATTATTATATCAATGAAGTGACAGACTGATGGATTGAATCCGGTCCCAGGTGGCAAAAGGATATGAGTTTCAGCAGCACATCCTAACAATACAATGGAAAATATTTCAAGACTTGACAAACACCTGCCTGTTGCCCTTTAATTTACATCAGTGCAGAGTGTTACATACCAGTCGCAAAAATAAGCTATAGATACAAGCTGGGAACTGCTGGGTTTGATGTGGCCATTTACAGTACATCGAGACAATGCAGGAAAGCCATTACAAAGGCCAGCAATGTTAGGATACTTAGAAGTGTAGATCTTAGGAATCAAGGAATGTCAGGTTACAATTGCACAACGCTCTAGTAAAAACTCATTTGTTTTTTGAGTTTTGAGTATATTGTTACAAATGTTATATTTTTAAAATTCATTTTCTAAAAATCTGAATTAAATTCATAATTATGTTATAAAATAAGATATTGCTGATGTGGGATTAGCCTGGAGAAGAGAAACCATATGCATTCCAGATGTTAAGGGAAAATCCTGCACTAGCAGACTAAATGAACTGGACCTGTGCAGTGTTGAGCAGAGAAGATGACAGCGGCGACCAGATTCAAGTATTCACAAGCACTGACAAAGGTAGGGCTCTGGTTCAGAATCAACAGTGCATGAGTGGACCAGTAGGGGGCGCTCACCCTGCAGTCTGCACGGGT